GGGAGACGTGACGCCGCGGAGGTGGAGTGGGAGGGCCAGGAGTAGCGATGGGCGCAGGTGAAGCTGGGAAGGGCAACGGATGGTGGAAGGGGATGCGGGTCTTCTCGCCGGAGTACTATGCTGTGTGCGCCGTCGGTGGGATGCTCAGCGCCGGCACAACCCACCTCGCCATCACCCCCCTCGATGTTTTGAAGGTCAACATGCAGGTGAGTTGTGGTTGATCCCTTAACAAGAGCTCGTTTTTCCATCGTTTTGCACTTGCCTGCCGTTCTTTTGGATCAAAGTTGTTCCTTTTTCTTTAAGGAAAGTGGATTCTTGATGTCCATGATGAGATCATTCGGATTCCGGCTTTAATGGGGTATATATGAGATGGGGAATCTAAAGGAAATTGGATTCGTGCGGGCATGGTTTGAAGTGGGAATAAAAGCAGCTTTCTTGATTCTCTAGGAATCTGATGCCGTTGGATATTGCGAGAGTATCAAAAGGAACTTTACACTTTGAATTCTATGTGGTAGGAATTTCCACAGAAGTGGGAGTAGAATCGATGCTTGTCATTGCAACTTTAGTGCGGGTTTATGTTCTTGCTCTAGAATTATGTCTAGGGTTGCACACTAACCATGGTGGCACTAATTTATCTAGATTGTATACCTGAGGTATAACTGGAGCTTGTTCTTTGTGGATATACTTGGAAGAATATCTGCTTACCGTACTTAGGATCCATTTTCCTCTATAAATATTTGATCTTTAGATTCTTTGGAAAATGACTTTGCATTCGGTATTATTTGGTTAAACAGTTATTTTAACCAGAAAAAAAAATCAAAAATATATATAGCACCTAATCAATATACAGGAACGAAGGATTTGACACTTAAAGCTGCTTTCCTTTCAATCATAAATTTAATTGCTAGGTCAATATCTCATACCTATGACTTGTATCTTTAATGGGTTAGGTTGTTTTCAAATTTATGCTCATAAAGCAACATACTAGTGAGAGTATGTTTTTTATGTTTTTCTTAAGTCTATCGTTGTTTGTAATTGCTGCTAATGACAGGTGAACCCCCTTAAATACAACAGCATCTTTTCGGGTTTGCATATCCTTGTCAAAGAACAAGGGCCGTCTTCCCTTTGGAGAGGCTGGGCTGGCAAACTGTTTGGATATGGTGCTCAAGGTGGCTGCAAGTTTGGGCTCTATGAGTATTTCAAAAAGATGTATTCTGATGTATTGACAGGATATAATAGGAGCACAATCTTCTTTGCAAGCAGTGCATCTGCACAAGTAATAGCAGATGTTGCCCTTTGCCCATTTGAGGCTGTGAAAGTTCGTGTTCAAACACAACCCAATTTTGCTAAGGGCTTGATTGATGGCTTCCCAAAGTTATATGCATCTGAAGGCCTGTCTGGGTAATCATCTTAGAGAGATGGTCTTTCTTTGTCTTGTAACATAGTTTAATCTGGAACCTAGTCTGCATTAAGATCCTGAAATGATCCTCCCTAACTTTCAATCGTTTGTATGTGAACAAGTATTTTGTTTTCATTCCCAATGCAGCTTCTACAAGGGACTTTTACCACTCTGGGGCCGGAATCTACCATGTAACTTTTTCCTTCTCTCCCTTCGTTTACTTTGTTTGCATGCATGATTATCATAATTTGTGTTCAAGTTATTCAATTTCCCAGTGATTGCATTTCCTTTTGTGTGCTCTAGTGCTGTGCTACTGTACAGGTGCTTTAGGTACTGTTGAGGTTGCTTCTTAAAGCAGTTCTAAAAAGAGAACATGCCTAATTTGTCCCTAGAATTAATGATCTAGGAACAGTTTCTATGCTGTATTCTTTTTCTATATCTAAGTATTTCTTGTAGAAACTTGAAACATCTACTAACTGATGTGAATATAACCCTGTTAACTTTATCGGAGTATCCCTGTTAGCAACATAAGATTTGCTTATTGTGTTTAGCTTTGACATCTAGTAAGTTGAACGCTTTCAGAAATATACTTAGACAAACAAACAGAGTACACTTCTCTATACCCTTATTTAGATAATCAACATTGCCTAGCTTTATCATGGTTTTTATGGTGTGTTTGTAATTAAGTTTCTGTCTTGTAAATCTGTTAGGCTCTTTCTACTATCATTTCTCTGTAAAATAATACAAGTCAAGTTTGACAAACCACCATTTATGCAGTTTCTATTCTCATGTTCTCCACATTTGAGCATACTGTGGATATACTATACCATAATGTTGTCCAAAAGAAAAAGGAGGACTGTTCAAGAGCTCAACAACTTGGGGTGACTTGTATAGCTGGTTATGCATCCGGAGCTATCGGTACCGTTGTGTCAAATCCTGCAGATAATATTGTTTCTTCACTTTACAATAAAAAAGCCAACAATATCTTGCAGGTTAATATTATCTCCCCTGTTTTTCTTGGATTGTTTCTTCACCCTACTATAGATGCTTAAGCTACTCCAACAAGAAACTTGTCTTACATATATGCAGGCTGCGAAGAACATAGGATTTCCCAATTTGTTTACAAGAAGCCTTCCTGTTCGATTTACACTTGTTGGACCTGTTATAACCTTGCAGTGGTTCTTCTATGATACTATTAAAGTGTTAACTGGATTGTAAGTATCTTAAATCTCTGTAAATTGCACAAAATCTACAATGTTCCATAGTGGTTAGTTAAACTACATTTACTAAACTATTTCAGTTGCACTATTTCTACTTCACATGAAACACTTAAAACATTTCCTAGCTTTAGAACACTTGCCGATTGTAGATTCTCTTTAAATACCATTTTCACTGAAACCTGTACTGCATTCTGTAAGGACTGGAAGTATGGAACAGATTAATGTCATTGAGCAAAAGGGAGATGCCTTTAAAATCAGTTCCTCCAATTCATGATAGGTCAGATGTGCAGAATAAACATTATGTGAAATGAAAAGAACATGTGCATATAGATTGGGTTAATATACTTAGGCTGTTGCACTAGATGTTGGAACCTCAATCGTGATCATTAATATATAACCTCCATTCCCTCCATATTTTAGCATCTTCTTTTTCTATTTTTGAGCTAAAATGGAAAAAAAAACTGGCCTTAAGAGTGAACCAGGCTAACAGCATCCATCAACATATGCTCCTACCTAACAAAACCAATACTGCATATTGCCTAAGGAGTTAAGAAAGAAAAGGGTGTATATTCAAAATGTTGTTGAGATATCTACATTGATTGAAAGAACACAACATTTCATTTTTGCATTGAAATGTTTCAGGCCGACAAGTGGTGGTATTGCCCGCGATTTTGATGAAGTTAATAGCTTAACCTGATGAGATGCTTGGAATTGATGCTGATAGATTGTGCAGTGAATGAGAAATGATTGACATTCTACCATGCTCCTGTATGGTACGGGAGATGGCTTCTACCTTCTTAATGGCTATGACCAACACCTTCTAATTCCAGCAAAGCTGATTTTTTCTTGGAGTGAAAGGTTCTGCAACGAAGCGAAAAAATCAAGGCAACACATTTCTCTTTGCAGTATGAACGATTTGTGCTTTGGACAGAAATTTTTTATGAGTTGTTTTTTATTGACTAGCGCACACCACACTTCTTTACACAGAATAATGTCATGCACTAATGATGATAGTATTTTCTACAAGTTTTCGCTATACACATATACACGCTTCTTTGGTAAAGTATATCATAATTCGAAATGTTATCATGCTTTAAAATTGTCCTACTGCCTCAGTAATGACAATTGATAGATAGCTGAAGTTGTCATTGTAATTATGATCTTTGAGCATTTCAAACAAGAAAACAGAATGATGGTTGGTCCATAGGGCCAGATGACAATGCCAGGCAGTAGTGCACAAGCACAAAAAAGATTGAAGAGTGGGAGCAGTCAATATCTTCAGAATGTGCAATGCATATGACATGGCAATGAGTTGAGCTCCAATGATGCTTCAGCTATTTTTAATGATTGGATATGATATGCTAATATTGCATATAATTGTTGCTGGAAACAAAGTACCAAAGAAACACTTATTCTTGTGGTTCATTTACTTCAGGTGCAAAGGTTGTTTAGGAGACCATTGTCCTGTGCCATATGAAATGCACAAACTACATGGTGTAGTCATAAATGCACAAACTACATGATATTTGGGCAACCAACTCTTTTGTGGATACAAACAAGCAGTCTGTGGATTTTGTTCCATAAAAGATGTAAATTTTACTGTGCCAGTTAGATGATGTTAGTAATTATTACCCATAAAAATGTAAATAAAATAAAGATAAATCATATAGAATCGTCCTAAGACTACCACTCTTTAACTTTGGCTCTTCATCTTTTGATGAAATTTTATTTTGTGATCTCCTGCTCTAATGCTAATGTGAAGGGTAGAAAATTTTTTTTATATAAATAATTTTTCCTCTTTTATTTTTGTATAAATCGAGATTTGACGCAACGATTAAGTTTTTACTAGCTAAGTTAATTAGTATATTCAAATTTACAGGATGATGATGGTTTTGAAAAACATTATTGTAAGATAATCTCATCTTCGTCACTTACCATTTGTCAAAAAAATTTAATTAAATATATAAAATTTTAGAGGATAATATTTTGAATGATAATGAAGATTAATTGGAAATCAGGAGGTTATTATTAATAGTAATACTATTATTATTATTATTATTATTATTATTATTATTATCATCATCATTATTATTAGTACTACTATTGCTATTATTTCTTTTCTTAATATTTTCGACATTATTAGGCATTTCATCTCATGTCAACGATTTTTGCCTCCCGTATTGTTGTCTTTATCTTTCGACGAAATATTAGGACAGCTTTGATTCTAATCATTCGGAAAAATAGATCCCATCTGTGATTCGTGAGCGAAGTCGTCACTCGGGTTGGAAACTCAAATCGTAACCCGAAGCTGGAAAACCATATCACATCCGTCCATAACCATCTTAGCCGTCCATGTCACCGGTCCATCTCTATATATTATCCTAGCAGAGGGAGCGTCATCGGAGGAATCGGTTCCCGTTCCCTTCCCTTTCCTTCCCCGATGCCTTTCGATTTCGATTTCGATCTCGAAATCTAGGGTTAGGGTTACGATGTCTCGTTCTGGCTGATTAGATCGTACGCCTCCTTGGCTTCGACTGCGGGACGATCTACGCTTGTGTGTGGTAGAGGATCTTAGGGGTTTCTTGATTTGTGGCCGGAGAATCGATGAACGATCCGTCGCAGTTGATGAACCGGAGCTTCGGGATCTGGCCGCCGCCGGTGGCGGAGGAGTCCATGGGGTTTCCGAACCCCGTTCCGCCGCCTCCGCCCTTTGCTGCCCCTGGCGGGGTCAAACCGGGTCGGACGAACTGGAAGGCTAAGAAGGCCGCCGACATGCGGAAGAAGGCGGCGACAATCTCTGGTGGAGTAGGAGCGGGTGTCCCCCTTGGCGGCGGTGGCGGAGCCGGCGCTGGTGTCTCCGGCTACAGGCCTCCGACTCTCCACGAGCTCCAGTTCCAGAACCGCGTCAAGGCTCGCAGGTTCTACCCCAAGAAGAAGTTTCTGCGCTCCGCCCCCTTCGCCCCCCGAAACACGACCTCCTTCATCATCCGCGCCAAGAAGTCCGGCGGGATTGCGTCGCTAGTGTCGCCGTGCCCCGTTACGCCGGCGGTCCTCCCGACCCCCAGGTTCTCCCCGACCCGCGAGGACCTCGCCGACATGGTTAAGGAGGAGTGGGGCGTCGACGGCTACGGCTCGATGAAGGGCCTGATCCGCCTCCGATCGCCGAGCGGCCACGAGATCCGGCCCGCCGCCGCCACCGGCGGTGGCGAGGAGGACGTCGAGGACGAAGAGGGGTCGAGCGAGAGCGACGTGGAGGAGCACCTGGAGGTGGAGCGGCGGCTGGACCACGACGTGAGCCGGTTCGAGATGTTGTATCCCGGGGAGGAGCACGGCCTGGAGTCCGCGGCGGACCTGCTTGAGAGCAGGGTCGACGACCAGGACGCGCACATCGCGAGGCTGGAGGAGGAGAACTTGACGCTAAAGGAGCGTGTTTTCCTGATGGAGAGGGAGATGGGGGACTTCCGGAGGCGGCTGCAGTTGCTTGAGACTCGGTGCCCCGCGAGGGAGGATACCGATCACAATAACGACGGCAGCAACAAGAAGAACAATGGGGAGGCAGCCCCAGAGAACGAAGACGATGCGGAGGAGTGCTCGGGCGAGAGCAGCGGCAACCCGATGCTGGAGTGACCCGAGAAGCAGCAGAAGGCGAAGGAGATCAGATTACACTGCCGCTGCTGTGCTATGGGTATAGTCTCTCTAACCCATGTGTTTTGACTCCTTTGAATTCATGGAGTAGGTTAATAATGTTGTAGAATTGCATGATAAGAAGTATATATATATATATGTGTATTTAGGTACTTGTGTGCTCTTCTTATCTTTGGCGCTTCATTTTATTGGATGCTTTGAATTACTTGTTCTTGATTGATTATGAATCTATTTTTATGATCATTGAATGTGAAATTTCATATGATGATCTCAAGATTGTCAAAGTTGGTCAGATCATACATTGATCGTTGTCTGTGGTTTGAGGTAGTCAAATCTATGGTGATATCGGGTAATGGTCGAGGAAGGGTTGGGTTTAGATGATGGAATGGAGGCACTCTTCAGGACGAGTCGAGCCGAAAGCAAGGCTTCGATGAAGCTTATTTGAATCAGCCAACGGGTGGGCCACAAGGCCCTTAAGCCCAGCCATGTCCGTCACATTGTTGGGCTCAATGGGCTGGGCCTGGGCCCATTATGCATGTGGGTGCCACAGATGGGGCCTCTCTTTGCCACGTGGCCCCTTCTGGCATGTTGTTCCTTTTTTAAAGTAATAATACTGTTTAATAGGTTTCAAAATGGGATACATTCTACTGAACTCAGTGTTGTTTTGTGTAATGATATGTAGCACATGAAATGATGTCTTAGAAAAAGAAAATTCTGATTGGATGAATCAAATCATAAGTTTAATAATTTGTTAGAAAAATAAAATGTTATGTGAAACATAAAAATCATTTAGATAATATTATAAAATTACTTCTTATAATATGATATTTTGATAATGAATAAAAAAATGAAGTATTTTAATATTTTCAACATTTAAATCATCTAATTAGTGAACTTTTTATGATCCAACTGACTGGTTTGGTCAAAGTTTTATAACTAAATCGTCAAAGTCTTTTGTTCGAGCATCATGGTAACTCGAGCCCTTTTTAACTGGACCACATTTAAACCGGTCTGAGGCCGACCCCTATGGGCCTTTCGGGTCTTGACCAAGTCGGCTCATTATCCTTACTTGAGGTTTTTATAGTGTTATTTGTTTCTAACAAAATATACCACATCACTCTAGGAATCACTTCTACGAGAACATGCAAGTGTACGCGTACAACAGGAATTCCCGTTTCGATTGCACATTGTTGAGTCTCGGAGGATAATATGCGCAAGCATTACTATATCCCAATAACCCAATATTATATATAATGGATAGAGAGATGGGGTAAAAAGATTGAGTTTTCTGTTGATATTCCGATAAAAAAGAAATGTACCAATGAGAGGGGGGACCAAACATAGCAAAAAAAAAGGAAAAAAAAAGGAGGAGAAACAAGGTCCCTAATATGTGGGCAAGTTCTCTCTGCACTTAATGTCATGGATTGGTATTAATTCTTTGGCTTTCTTTTTCTTGTTTGAGGCCTACTCTGATATGCCCTCCCACCCCCCCCCAAAAAAAAGGAGCAGATAAAGCTCAATCCCTTCACTGTTGCACCACTTCTTTTATATGGTCAGAATCATTTCCACAAGTGAGCCAATTTTATAATGCCCATCAGATATTTTTATTCTTGTTTCTGGATATTTGTTATTCATCAGAAGTCACTGTTAACAAAACCCAATAAACAGAAAGAGAGACAAAAGAATGATTTGGTGTCTCATCTTTTGTCCACACATGAGAAATGTTGTTTATTTTGCTCTTTATCTGAACTTTTTTTCTCTTGCATCTTCACAGCCACAAAGAAAAGTCATGGTTGCAGCACCATAAGAAACAAACACCAAGTTTGCCTCTACTTGTCATTGTGCCCACTGTCACATGTTGACATCATAGTAAAAGAAATCTGGTTTTAGTTCCATCCATTACTCATAGCAAAATGAATGTTTGAATCTTGTGCACACAGCATTGACAAGTCAATCAAAACATGGCATTAAAAGCACCAAAGAAGAAGAAGAAGATGGACAGCATTGAAGGAGGAAAGGGATCACTTTCACTCAGTCAAAGATTAGCACTCCCCTACTGAACTAAATGCCCTCAAAAACCTGTTTCCTTTCATCTAATGTTGGTGGCCACATATCTAAGCATACTGATGAATGTCAACACAGTCCCTGGCTGCTTTAGAAACACAAAAATAATCCAAGTCTAAAACATGTGGTCAGCTTTTTCTGGTGTTTTCAGCTCACATGTTCTGCCTTAGAGAGAGAGAGAGAGATCTTGTCTTTTTCGTATGTATTCTGTGGATGAAAGGTGGCAGCCACTGCAGAAGCCAATGGATGGTGTTGACATGGCATAAAGTGCAGACACCTTTGTCAACTCACATCTTGTGGTCAGAATCCTTTCTCCATCTGTGTCATTTTTAGTGGCTCCATATATTTCTGCAGATATTATTGTCCCTCTTGTGCTTCCATTGTAGCAGTTTGAGTTCCATCGTTTATTGACACTAAAGTTTCCTTCTTGAGAGACTTGAGATCTGCTTGTTTTGGCATTTGTTCTGTGCCATTATTTCATAGTAAATAATACATCTATTATTTCATATGCTCAATTTTGTTTTTCATCTCAAATTGATTTGAAGCGATCTATTTTTTTTTGGAGTTACAATTAGAATAGAGAAAAAGGTTTTAGTTGTGGGAGAGTTCCGTTTGAGGGCAGTAAAAACTCATCTCGTAAGAAAATATTTATTTTATTTTGTATCTTGTTTTATGAAAAAAAATATTTGCATCTCTTATCTTGCTCAAGTCTGATGATGCTATATATCTATATATATATATATATATATATATATATATATATTGATTTTTATATTTTAAAAAGTTATATTATTTTCCTGTAGTTACGAAAGTCAAACATCTAAATTCATTTATCCTAACATCATCGATTTTATCAACGAAAATAAGAAAATAAAAGATAAAAAGATAATTTTAACAATCCAATTGGTGGTGACGGATGATATTGGTAGTAGTGGACAACAACATCGTTGAATCTCGTAGGTGAGTGTTGTGGATGAGGAGAGCGGTAACAAAAGGTGAGGATCGTTTTGCATTTATATTGACGTCGACGAAATTGTTGAGCAATGTTGCTTTGCTTTTGCATCTGCGTCAGTGTCGATGCAAGTGACTCTTTCATCGTTCAACAATTGTGTTGATATCGACGTAGATGCAGAACGATGAAAGGATCGCTTGATAATTGTATCAATGTCGACACAGATACAAAGTGATTCTCACATCTCATTGTCACTCTCCTCATCTACAATAGTCATCCACGGGATCTAATAATATCGTTGTTCGCTACCACCAACACTATCCATCACCACCAATTGAAATATTAAAATTATTTTTTTATCTTTTGTTTTTATGTTTTTGTTGATAAAATTGACGACATCAGAATAAATGGATTTATATGTTTTACTTTTAATTAAAGAAATATTCATATAATTTTTTAAAATATAAAAAAAAACTAACTACAAGAGGATTCTTGTATAATATGTAATTAGTTCGATGATGCAATATGGGATGATTACTTAGTCAATCATATCTGCCCCATTGATTGCTTAATCTCCTTCTCACCCAAATCAACCATTTCAGAAGAACACGGTTCCTTTGATCCCTTGTTTGAACCAATTGGGCACGGAGAAAGGACTGAGAAGACGACAGCCTGTGGCGAAGCAGAGAGCGCCTAAGGCATCGTGACACGTGGCGTCGAGAGGAGTCATCGGTGACGCTGACGCGGCGGAAAAGCGCTCCGGGACCCGCTCCCCGCCGCTCGGTTCTGATCCACGTTTCGTGGCCGGAGTCGTTACAGTCACCTCAACCACGTATTTATTTCCTGTTAGACTCGTCGCAGGAAACCCCCATACCGGGCCTATAGAAGGGCAGCTCCTGTTGTGTTTTTCCTGACGTGGTCCAATGGAAGAGAGGCGTTTGCCGAACCCTGTCGGCGGATCCACACCAACAAACATGTGGCCGAGGATTTTTCCTCCAGGTCAGGTGCGGCCCGATTTCGAGTGGTGGAGACAGCCGAAGCTTTTAATCCGCTTCGACTCCCGACAGGTGGCGGTTAGCGCAGTGGAGGGGTGCCGGTGACGTGGCATAAAGCGCAGATAAAGCTCCTCGCTTTTCATCGTCTCTCCACCTCTCTTTGAATCCCTCGCGGCCATAAATTATTATTATGTCCACCTTTTCTCTCTCTCTCTCTCTCTCTCTCTCTCTCTTCGCTTTTCGTACGTGTGACATTCTGGTTGGCCCCAAACAGAAACTAAACTCTAATTGGGAGTGAAAGGTGTCCCACTCTCCACCCACATCTTTACTCTTCCATTGTGAGCCTTCCGATTTATACACTCCATTTTTTTGGTATTTATCCACACTCCTAATCAATTTTTCAGCCATATTTCAACCTCACCATATAATAATAATATGACAAAATTTTCACAAAATTTTAATTTGAGATTTTCCATACCAATCCTTTCGAATTTTGATAATAATATATTTGCTCTTATAAATTTTGATATAGCACATATATATCTATACATTAATATTCTGTTTAATCATGATTAGTGTATTAATATTAGTTAACAATCAAACAATTTCTATGCATTAAGGAGAAACAGAGGGGTGTTTTCGGGAAGTCGCCCATAATATTAAACTAATATCCGTAGAAATAAAAGAGAAGGGAATAAAAAGAAGGCGAACGGAAGTCCGCCACGTGTCGGTGGCTTTGTGCTTCCTCGACCACAAGAACGGGGTGGTTTCTGGTATTTCCCACGGCGGAAAGGGCAAGCCCTGCCCCACGCCGACGTGGCAATCTCCTCTGGATATTTAGGGAGCGACTTCTCCCCCATCTTCCTCCTTCATTCCCATCGATCCCGATCGAGCTCGGCGTTCTATGCCCTGCTGTTCCCTTGCTCCAGATCCGTTCTCCATGGCCAAAGTTCTCTTCTAGCTCGGACTCCCGCGGTGCTTGTTCCTCGGTTGAAGCTCCCGTCGGTGTTCTCTCTTTCTTTCGAGGGCTTCTCGATCGTAGGCTCCAACTTTCGCAGGAATCTCCCTTCCTTCCCTTCTTTTCTGTTGCTGATCGGGTTGGTGCCTCATGGAGTTCTGGTGCAGTAGACGGTCTGGTTCTTGATTTGTCTCCTGTTTGTTTCTTTTCTTCCCCCTCGCCCCTCTCAAAGAGTTCAAAGGGGAAAGGAAGTGATTAGCTGTTTCTTGAGGTCTATGTTGTTTGTAAGCGACTCTTGGTGAGTTGGAGGTAGGGAGTCATCCAAGTTGTTGTCTCAAAGAAAAGGAGAGTAACCAGAGAAGGGAGAAAAGGGGTGGAGGAAATTTCCTGGAGGGACTTCTGCAGCAATTGATCTCAATGGACATGAAGGTATGTGTCTCTGATTTCTTGATCTAGTTGTTTCCTCTATCCAATTTCTGTTTATAGAATTGAAATATGTTGGTTTCTGCTTGGGGTCTTTGTTATTTGTATTAGTTGCCTTTTGATGCTTTGACATAGCTCACTCACTGATTATAAAGCATAATCTACCAAAGAGATAGCTTTGTCCGTCCAAAAAGATTTTGGTTGGAAGATTATAAAGCATAATCTACCAAAGAGATAGCTTTGTCTGTCCAAAAAGATTTTGGTGGCTTCCAACTTTTGGTAACCAGTTTCTTGCCATTTTTAGTTTATCAAATCACATTAAGAGCAAGATATGATTTTCAGGGGAGGTTTCCCTTCAAGAAAAATAAAAAGCTGCGATTTTTTCTTTTTGTGTTGTTGTGATTGGTTGTCATAGTCATTGATGTGAAGAACTTTATGGAATTGAACACCAACCCTGTATTTTTGCACATATAGGGAGGAGGAATATGCAAGAGTGAATGTTGAGGTGTATTTGACCAATTGTAACTTTATTTGATCTTGAAATTGGTTATTGGGAAGAGATTTCTTTTGTTTGTTATAACAACTGAGAACAATTCTCTAAGAATTGGTAGGCAGTGGAGGACAAGTGAACAAGCATCTAACAACCATGAGGTTTGGGAAGGTCAAGATGGCATGCAACACTAATCATGCATGACAGATTTTGCTTTTGGATACAGTGATGCTTTATTCTCAGTGAATCAACTTTGCCGCTATAACGATGCCTCATGATAATCTAATCTTCTAGTGATACTAAATGATACATGAGGAGTTAGATAGATAATATGGTGGTTCCAAGATTGCAAAGAACTTACAGCTATAATTCTTTTTTTGTTGAATACCAGGACAAGCGCGTTCCGTCTGTCAATGGCATCTGTATGCCAAACAAGCGAAATAAGCGGCTATATGTTCACATTAGACCATCCATTGATCAAGCTCAGTTGAAGGAGTTTGCTTCATCAACAAAGGAGCTGCCTATTAGGGTATTTTTCTCCCATAAAAAACTTTAATACTGTTATAATATTCTTCTGTTTAGCGAGATTCTTAATGGAAAGTGATCCTCGTTCACTAGGTGAGGAAACCTTACACGATAACAAAGCAGAGAGAAAGGTGGACAGAAGAAGAGCATGAAAAGTTTCTGGAAGCTATAAAACTCCATGGCCGTGTTTGGCATCGAATACAAGGTGCTTCATCGGCAGTAATCACTTATCTTGACATTAGGCTCTAAACCTTTGTTCTTGTTCTGATTAAGAGTCTTCCTGCAGAACATATTGGTACCAAATCTGCCATTCAGATCAGAAGTCATGCACAGAAGTTTTTCTCAAAGGTGAACTTATTTTTCCTCCAGTTATTATTTCTCTTCCATCATCTGTTCCTCCAGTAATTATTTATTCATTATGATGGGTATCAAGACTATCCCTATGTGGCTTTTTTCCCACAGAATTAGTGAACAACATTTCTGATTTCGGTTGCCTTGTAATATAGGTTGACCGCAACTGGGGTACAGGAAATGCGATTGAGATTCCTCCTCCTCGACCAAAGCGAAAGCCGTTGCACCCGTATCCTCGTAAGCTGGAGAATTTATGCACAACCAGAGTTCCAGATACGAAGCGACCGGAACAATCTTCTTCACCAATTCCATCTTTCTCTGAACAAGAGAGTGGATCACCTGTATCAGTCTTGTCTGCAGTTGGATCAGAAACATCACCATTGTCATCTGTGGTTGGATCAGATCCAGTAGAATTGTCACTGAGTGAACCAGAGAATAGATGTTGCTCGCCTACCTCATCTGTGGAAGGAGAGGAAAGAATTTTGTCCAAAGATCCAGCATCTAATGGTTCAAATAAACTAGATAAATCTCCACTGGTACATTCTTTAATCCTTAATTATTTATTTATGAAGATAAATTAAAATCATTAGTATTGAATTGCTGTATTCCATGTTGCAGGAGTTATATTTGGGTTCGCAAGATCAGATCCATCCTAAAGAATGTTCACCGGTGGAACCACAACTGACTAGTCTGAAACTCTTTGGAAGAACAGTCTTGGTAGCCAATTCTCAGAAAACATGCTCTTCTGATGATGGAAATTCTCAGAAAACATGCTCTTCTGATGATGGAAATGCCACACGATGTTTCATGTCGTTGCCAAGTGCTGATGTTGGCTCTCATGAAGAGAAAATTGACACAGATATGCAGAATCAAGCTCCAGGATTGGGACACTTTCTGCCACATGAATATACAAGTGGGAAAACGGGCAGAATTCCGTGCGATGTTGCTGCACTGTCTATGTACTACTTTTTGGCCCCAGATGGCGTTCAAAAGAACTCAGCTGATGAAATGGTTGCTCCAATGCCTTTCTGGCCGACATTCTATGGAAGTCTACCTATCTCATTCACCAACCAACTGAACACGAGGTTGAAACAGGATCTGCCTCAAACCAGTACTGAAGCCCCTTCTCAAACAATTGCCATAGAAGAAGGTTCCTCAGTTGGTTCCAATTCACCTTCTGCTTGGAATGAGAGCTTAATGGATGACGGTAACCACACTGCGGTAGGCTATGACGGTTCAGGATTTCCAAAGGAGCACATGCGTGCCTTCAAGCTAAAGCCGAGCGAGAACTCAGCTTTCATTAGCGTCAAAGCAAGCAAGATCAAGTCCACGAGGGGCTTTGTGCCCTATGAAAGATGTAAAATTGGAAAATAAGCACAGGATTACTCGGAGATGAACAATGGAGACAGTTGAGCTAAGGATGTGCTTGTAGAGACCTTTTAACCTTGTATCCATCTTGTGCAGTCTGCACAGATGTTTGTAAACATCACGTGAATTGTATCTCATATATACTCTCATAGATAGGCTGACAGATGCTGTAAGATACAATCTCAGCTTCCTTTTTGTATCTAATATCAGGTAATTTCTGTTGGAAACTTTATCCTGTAATTTTTATCATTTCTTTCATAGGCTGTCATTCTTGTGCAGACATCCCTTCTGTTACCTGTTGGATTTTTGTGGCTTGCAAATTCATCAACTCTTTATCCTGTGTTTTGTCAAGTCAGACTGAGATCCACTGGTAAGAATCTGTTGAATAAGCATACATGCAGTCAGTGTGAGACAGTTGTTCTCACTCTTCATCATCTGCTGGAACAAATAAGCTTGTTGTTCACATTTTTCCTGAGTCCATGATCCATGTAAAGAATAGGAAATCATTTGTCTCAATTCTAAGCTTACCACACATTACCACCATCTCATTTGCAGCCAGCCACAGGTGTTGAAGAAGGAACTCAAAAGAACTAGTGCACACTTGTATGTTTATCAACACAAAGCAGTATTTAAGAATTGCGAATTCTGCCACAATCACAATTTTTGAACCAAAACCTGAACTTGTCACCTCTAACAGCAGCAACATCGTTCTTTTTTTTACATTTGTACAGTGCTGATGGTTCAATTGACTACTCAAAAGAGAATATATGACATATGTCATTGAAATTTTGCTAGTTCTTATACCACAGTTAGTATGCTCAGTACTATCAGTCAGTACAACTGTACCCATTAATATGATTGTTGTCAGTCCCCAAATCAGGTTGCATTGGGCCTGACAGATGATGTTATGACAAGGAGACATGGAGAAAGGAGTCAGGATTCTACAGGCTATTATCCATCCAACAGAATGGAATGTCCAGATCAGGCTCAATCCCTTGAATGTAAATCAGCTTAGGTTTACTTGACTGCTGGCTTCTGGATGATGTTTCTTTGACAAAGTTTCTTGCTGTGTTGATGGGTTTGAATCTTCAAACTGGAATCAGCTATTTATTAGGAGTTGATGACCAAAGACTACTTCTGATGGCATTCTTCATCGTCGTGTGATAGCCTGCATCATTCAGTTGTTAATTTCACTGAAATAACTCTAAAAATTCGCAGCATTAGAGGAGAAACTAAAGCATACACAAACTTCAAATGCTAACCAATCGCCAGAAGAAGCACAGCTATTTACTATTTGGAGATAACGACACTCGAAGCCCACTATAAAAGGCACCTCAAGTACATTCCCAAGGACACAATCTTTTCTGTTGGAAAGCTAGTTGAATCATCTGAATCAACTACTACCTTAGGCATCAAAGGGACCTTATCGGAAGAAAAGGAATACGTCGCATGTGTTGTGAAAAGATTATTACTTACCCCAAGGCAATTAGTTCTATCGCAGTGTAAGAAAATCTTTCATTCTCAATGCAGTGTTAATAACAAAGTTTGTGCATTGATTATAGACAATGAAAGTTATGATAACATTATATCCAAATCACTGGTGAGGCACCTAAAATTATAGACGGAGGCTCATCCAACACTATACAAGCTAGGGTGGATTAAAGAAGGCCCAATTGTCACCGTAACTGACAATTGTTGAGTTCTTTTCTCAATTGGGAAAAGTTACACGGAGGAAGTTATACATGAGGTAGTTGATATGGATGCGTGCCATGTACTACTTGGAAGACCATGGTAGTATGATGTGAATGCACCATGGTAGTATGATGTGAATGCAACCCACGCTAGAAGAAAGAATGATTATGTGTTCTGGTGGAATGGAAAGAAGATTGTCATTCTATCGACTAACAAAAAGGAAGATGAAACCAACACTTCTAAAGTAGAGGGGAAGTCTCTCGTATCTATTTCCAACTCTGTGCAAGAATTCATTGCCAATTCTAAAGAAACAAGAGTATGCTATGCTCTTATTGTAAAGGAAGAAAAGCCACCCGAAGCAAAGATTTCAAACGAACTAAGATCGATATTGGAAGAATTCAAAGAGATCACCCCTGAAGAGTTACCAGATGAACTTCCACCCATAAGAGATATTCAGTACCAAATTGATTTGACTCTAGGAGCAAGTCTACCAAATTTACCTCACTACCGGATGAACCCAAAAGAGAATGAGATGCTGAGGGAGAAGGTAGAAAAGTTGATACAAAAGAGATTTTTAAAAAAGTATGAGCCAAAGTGCAGTCCTAACTTTGTTGACACCTAAGAAGTTGGAAGCTAGTAATGCCAAGTACAATAAAGCAATTGATAAGCATAGGAGAGAGAATATATTCAAGAAAGAAGATGCGGTTTTGGTGTATTTGCAAAAAGAGAGATTTCCCATATGCACTTACAACAAATTGAATCCGAAGATATATGGTCCCTACAAGGTCTTAAAGAAAATCAATAACAATGCTTATGTAATTGATTTACTAGATGATTGGGGGATCTCAAAGACCTTCAATGTTGCAGGCTTACATAACTACTTTTCAAATGAGAATCCATTTTATCCAAACATAAACTCGAGGACGAGTTTTTTCACAAGTGGCGAGGATGAATGCAAAACAAGCAGAAGAAGACTATTTTCAAAGAACAAGCTACCCACTTATCACTTTTATTTATCCCACATTGTTAATTTTTATGTTTTATATTTCTTTCAATAGTCCCACATTGTTAGTTAGTTAGTTTTGAAGGCGTAGAACTAATATAAATAAATACCTCTTCTAAGCCTATGAAATCATAAAAAAGAAATATTTTCAAGTATTGTGAAGGTTTCTCCACCATAAGGAGTTGATTTTCCTCATCAGGTCAGTTGTTAGAATCTTTTCGAGTAGTAATTTCTTCTTTTTGTTTTTGTCCTGCATCAACCTTGGATCTTTTGTCGCGCAAGCGTTCAGTGCTTGCGAAGTTTATGCTTATAATTTGTATTGTTTATCAAGTGTTTATTAAAATGACTACTTATGGGATCCCGAATTAAACACTTCGTCCTCTTTTTTGTTGGTCCTTAAGGGGACCCAAAAAGGTTTCGGATAGGCTGACTCTTTGCGGATGGACATGCAAGGGCACCGACTTAAACAAAATTAGCTAAGCTCGTGATACAACAATTACCAATACATAATTTTCATACGTTGCTATAATTTTGTCTATTAATATAAATCAAGCCAATTTAGATACTCTATGATCATCATAAATCTAACTTTTATCAACCATTGGCAAAAGATACTTATTTATAAAAGTTACATAGATCATTCAAGTCACAGTAAGTTAAAAATCAAAAGAACATATATATTTCCACTATTCAATGTGTTTAGAAACCTTATGCAAATGATTCGAAGGGCTTCGTATCTGACATCAACATAAAGAAATTGCAGGTGATACATGAGTCCTAATATATGCTGAAGTACCAATCCTGCAAGTTTTGGTGTCGGACATGGACACGACTAGAGCACTCATATCAATAAATTAAAGGTTCACATTACAAGAAACAATCTATGGAACCATATCGACCATATATGAGATCGGAACGCGAAGCAAAGGCAATCGACGGCTTCAAATTTAGGGTTATAAACTACATGGAGATTAGAAATCAACGATGGACGAAACTACATACAGACGAGCAAAGCTGTACTTGTGGATTGGCGGACGTGTTTCCTAGTATTCGGAGGATAAAACGAGGAGATCAGGAGGGTGGGTGGTACCTCGGATTCGTGGAGGTGGATATGCAGGGTAGACGCCTCCTCTCCACACGCCATAGCTATTCATGTCTCCGCCGTCTTCTTCGTCTTCGCCTCTCCCTCCGCTTCCTCTTTAGGCTTCGTCATATTGGGCCGGCCCAAGAAGACGTGGCTATAGGCCTTTTATGAGCTTCGAACGAGATCAAGGGAGCCACACCTTCCGCACGTGCGAACCATGGAAGCACACCAGTTCCGCTCACCTGCCACGTCACCCATCCTAGACAAACGAATAGAACGCATCGCAGCCGTCAATGTGAGATCCAACAGCGGAACGATACATTCCCACGGATCGACCCCTGCCCGCGCCCCAAACTCCCTCTTCTATAAATACCGTCCACCTTTGCCGCAATCGGGTCAAAGACTTCCGTCCTCCGTCACCTTTACCTCTTCTCCAAGCGTTATCTTTTGGATCGATCGATTGTGGGCGCAATGTCCGGCCGCGGAAAGGGAGGCAAGGGTCTCGGCAAGGGCGGGGCGAAGCGTCACCGAAAAGTTCTCCGCGACAACATCCAGGGCATCACCAAGCCGGCCATCCGCCGCCTTGCCCGCCGTGGTGGTGTCAAGCGCATCAGTGGCCTTATCTACGAGGAGACCCGCGGCGTCCTCAAGATCTTCCTCGAGAACGTCATCCGAGATGCCGTCACGTACACGGAGCACGCCCGCCGGAAGACCGTCACCGCCATGGACGTCGTCTACGCTCTTAAGCGCCAGGGCCGTACTCTCTACGGGTTCGGTGGTTGAGCTGTCCCTTTTCGAGTGCCGCCGTCGACGTCGGCGGCGGGGTTTGGGGCCGTGGGCTAGCTAGGGTTAGGGTTCCTCTTCTGGTTGGATTTCTGAAGATGTGTTTAGATAGTAAGTTCGGAATATTGCCTTCTGCAATTGAGAAACTGAACGATCTAACTTCATCTAATTTTATTGGGTGATTCATGTTTTAGTTAATTTGACGGAAATATCTCACGGAAGGGCAAAGGGAGGTTGATTCATTATAAATACATATGTAATGTAGATATATTCAAAAAGGATTTGAACCCACGCCCTTTCGGACCAGAACCTTAATCTGGCGCCTTAGACCAACTCGGCCATCTCAACGTTATGATCTTGATAATATTATCCGATATTTCAATCTCTTGTCATGGTGTCTATATTATTGGATTTATCATAATAATCTAAGCTGATTATAATAAATCAAGTTAAAAAAATGTGATCCTTGTCTTTACTAACTTGAATTTTCTATTTTTATCGTTGAAAATCGAAATGCGAACAAGGAGTTGTCTCCCTCTACTTTACAATTCTAAGTAATAGCTTGGACTTGAATAAGGTGTAAACAAGGAGTTCACCCATGCAATTTATTGTTTGAGATGAAAAATATAGAGCCTCACCAACTCATGGAAGATCCTCAACTCACA